CCGCCCAGGGCCCAGCCGTCTGCCCGCAGCCCCGCGCCCGCCCTGCGGCTGGAGCACAGCCGGGCCCGCCCGGGGGCTCCGCGGAGCACACGGGGGTACTGAGCGCCACCTGGTGGCGCAGGGCTCCTGCAGCTCCGCGGAGGCAGAGGGAGTGCCCTGGAGGGCCAGCGCCGGGGGCATCGGGAGAGGAGAGCCGCCGTCTGCCTGCGCGGGGTACTACTCCTGGCTCCTTTCGGGCCGCACAAGCTGAGCTGCGCCCAGGGAACAGCCAGGGGAAGGGGCGAGATGGTAGCACCGGTCTTGGGTGACAGCGGCCCCTGATTTGAACTCGCTTCCCGCTCCGCTGGGTTCCCGGACGCTGCTTCCTGGCTTCTTGCTCCGCGGACAGGTGCGGCCAAGGGCAGTTCAGTTCAATGCGGGCTTGGGGATTTCTTCGGCGCGATCTCGGAGTGTACATGCTCTAAATGCCTGCAGTACAGAGGACTCCTACAGCTTCCAATGGGATGCATTTGCATAGAGGGAGAATTCCTCATTTAAGATGGGTAATAAGCAAACGATATTTACTGATGAACAGCTAGATGCCTACCAGGTAAGATCTCTTAGTCTGCACTGTGGGGAAGGGGATGATCTGAATGTGTTTTGTTTTGGGATGTATGATGCAAACCTGGGTTGTGCAGGACTGTTCACGCTTTACTGATCCCTTCCCTACAATTGTTTATATTTGCTTACCATGAGTGGTAGCAGCATAACATCCAGCCGGATCCCCTTTCCTGGGTTCCTTCCTTTAATTATCAGGGAAGGAAATCAGTCCCAGACCCCAGTCCAACTAACAGATCAGAGTTTGTGTACAGTGGTAAAAGTGAGTTTTTAGGGTGGCTCTTTCGTTGAACAGATTTTAAAGATGACATTGTGTTATTTATACACCTCTGCCCATCCTGCCCCAGTCCCTTCAGTGAGAAGGAGCTGAAGAGACATGACCAATTTCATCTCTCATAAGGACGAAATGCACTAATTGCTCTTAAGTACTAGAGAGAAGGTTTCAGATTTAATTTCTTAGGCATGGTTGTCCCAAATTTGTTCACACTTCTGGCTGCCACACTTGCTGATAAAGTGAGATCTGTATTTTAGGTGCAAGACTCTCCAGAAGGAATACAGCCTTTGTGGTATCTTTTTGAAGACATGTTATCTCAGTTGCGTTTTTTTTTAGTTCATCCTATTAGTCTTTTCCACTTCCATTCACAGTGCTTCAGCACATTGCAGATACTTGCATTGTCTGAAATTAAAAATAGTGGGCTGTCTACCATCAGACATCTTCAAGAATAAAGGGAGCAAGATGTGAAATAAGAGAAAGCAGATGAAAGAGGAAGTTGAACGTCCATTCCAAGGTGCAGAGAAGGCTGGCTGTGTTGTTCTGTTTTTGTCTGCAAAGCATTAAACAACATGGAGTTAGCAGTGCAATAAACTGACTGTTGAAATATTATTTATCTCCTAATGACCAAAGGCCTGATCCAAAATATACTGATATCAATACTCTTTCCATTTACCTTGGCAGGTTTTGGGTCAGGCGCTTAAAACAGAACCTTTGATTTTAGAAACTACAATCCTTTGGAGTTATTATTAACTCTTTTGGGGTGATCATTTAACAAAAATTCAGGGACATTCTCAAATTTGTGAATATTTTAAAATATTTGGGTAAATTACTGCCATTTCCCTTAAATGCTTTATCATTCACTTTTCATCTTAAAGCAGCTCTCCCTTGATAAAAATAGGATACCCAGGTGATACTTAGGATGATTAATATACTGATCTGATAACCTGGCATAATTTCTTCATTTCACATCAGAGGCATATGCCTATATTGTCATGCGCATGTAATGATCACAGACAGCATAGGGGTAAAGCTCATTTAACCTCACTTTATTGCTGATCTCACCCTTACCAGACATCAGTCATTGCAGCAGATTCTGTAGTCTGAGCAAATACGACTAAGACTATGTTAACTACCCTGCCAAATATGCTGAGAAGAGGGAAATCAGGGATCTGTAACGCATAAATTGTCTGTATTCCTACTACCAATAAAAGTGAACACAGAGCAGAAATTCAACTGCAGTAAAACAAAACAAAAACTAAATGCAATTAACACTAACATCTTGGCATAGGCTGGCAAATGTGAGGGCTGAAAAGTCATCCTTCATTCAGTATACATCATCTAGAATTTGTCATCTTCTAATGGACTTTGGAGCCCTATGCTTCATAAGCTCATGTAATTGGCCTCAGAGTCTTGCAGTAGCTAGGCCCAGTGGGGCCAATCAGTCTATGGGATTTCTCTGATGCATGAGGTTATAAAATCAATTAGTGTGCCTGGATTTTTAAAAGGGCTGGATAATTTTATAGTTGATAATAGTATTTGCTGCTGTTGATGCATGTTAAGATAAGGACAATCAGACTGCATGCTTCAGGAAGGCAGCTAATCTCCACAGGGGTTGGGAAGAAATGTTGACCCCCTACACATGCACAAACAGGTAGATATGGTCTCTGGTTTGTGGGTTATGTTTCTGAAGCAGCAGTTCTTGCACGCTGCTGGCAGCCTCAGTGAAGAAGCAGCCACTGAGTAAAAGGGGTCCAAATCCTGCTTTTCTCACATAAGCAGTCTTTTTGAGGACAGCAGGGCTATTTGCACAAGTAAAGCAAATACGTGAGTTTTAGTATAATGGTAAGTCTTTCACCCTTGCCTTTCATTTTCCAGCTTCTGTAAATCAATGGCAGCTTTCATTTAACTCAAAGAGCCAAATTTCTCCCATGCTAGTTACTCCAACCTGCGGGAGCAGGACCTCTCTGAGCTTCACCTTGTTGGTTCCCTTTCAGTTCTCCCCTGATAAGAGTAGATCTGCTGGGGCAGAGACAGAGGATACCATCTTCTCAACTTTTGGGTCCTGTAGATCCATTTGGATCTTGGAATTGACACTACAGCTATAAATGAAGCACAGGGAAGACCTCTTGTCTCCACTGGCATACTGGTGTTACACTCTCTGCCATCACTCCCTGGGCCAGATTTTGCCTTTGTTAACAGTGATGTAAACCCAGAATGACTGCACTGAAGCTAGAGACACCACTCTATCTGATGGACTTCTGGCTGCAGTAACTAGATGCTGTGCTGTGTGGTTTTGGGGAAGTGGAAAACTGGCTAGAGACACACCAGCCCACCTGCTTCCTTTTTTGTTGATGAACTCCTTCAAAGGGGAGAAGGAAACATAGAATACCATAGCTGGATCCGTAGCTTCCTAAAAGATCTACATTCCATTTTTTGGAAACAGCAGCTGGGATTTTAAAGTGGCATAAGAGAACTGGTCTCCCAAATCCACTGAACCCAGGGCCTCTAGATCTATGGAAGTTTCTCTACCATAGCAGGAGCCAGCCTTTTTGACAGACATCCACAAATTAGCTTGGCACCCTCCATAAGTGCCTCAAGCCCCCTTCCCCTGCCTCACCTGCTGCTGTTTTCTGCTTCCAGCCCTTTGCTCCCTACCCAATCTGCTGCTCTGCTGTCTGCTTCTTGCTCTAGACACTGCTGCCTGTTCCCTTACCAGCCTGCTGCATGCCACGCAAAGGCTGCCTATGCTACTTGCAGCATGTGTGGTGCAGGTTGGCCACCCCTGCTGTACCATTAAATCTAAAGGACCAGCTCTTTAGTAACATATAGTGAATATAGATTAAAACAGGGGTAGGATAGGAGCCCGGTGCAGCTGTCTGTAGCCAGCCTGGGCTCTGGTCAGCTGCAGCAAACAGCGGGCAGGCTGCAAACAGCTGCACCGGGCTCCACAGCTCCAGCATCAGCTGCATGCTGGCAGCGACTGCGCTTGCACCTCCAGAGCCCAGTCACCAGCTCTGTGCCAGGAACAGGGGAGAGACCGGGGTTGCGCTGCCTCAGGCCCCTCCCCCACCGCCTGCTCCAAGGTGCGTGTGCACGCGCTGGTACGGAGCTGATGCCTGGGCTCCAGAGCCCAGTGCAGCTGTTTGCTGCCTGCCGACTGCAGCCCACCCGAGCTCTTGGTAGCTGCTGCCGGCCGGGAGCCCCGGGATGCTGCAAGCCCTGCTGGGAGCAGCCCAGGCTCCATTGCTGGCAGCAGCTACCCAGAGCCGGGGTTGGCCGTGGCGTGCCGAGCAAAATGGCCTTGCATGCCATGCTTGGCATGTATGCTGGGAGTTGCTGACTCCTGGATTAGAATATCCCATATATACACTCAGCTGCATAGACTTTACAAGACCATAAGCTTTGAAAACAAACCTGTCTTGGTTTTTAACAGTTGTTAATCCTTTTTTGGACATGGGAACCAGGCCACCTTTTCTTTTACTTTTTAAGCTAGTTATGCACCATGCTTGTCATATAGGACATAGAACTGTAAGGGACATACTGAGTCACAGTGCCTTGCTAGCACAGACAACCACATCATATAATCCTGTTTGTTCATTTTTAAAGCTGCCTTTTAAAACTACCAGTAGTTCTCTTTTTTTGCTTCCCACTATTCTTATGAGAAGACTGTTTTAGAATTTCACCACTCTGATGGTTAAAATCCTTCTTGTAATTTCTAGGTTAAATGTATTAATGTCCACTTTATACCCACTTACTCCTTGGAAACTGAGGCCTTTTTATACATAGTGAGCTTGTTTATGTGGAAAGCTAAAAAAAGTTAAGATGAGTTAGCTAGAGATCTGAAGTCAGTGTGCTTAAGTTAAAGTATATTAAAACTCTGAGCTGATGCATTCATTCAGTGGCTTTCTATCACTATAGTGTTTCTACTTGTGAGACGTGGGGGTAAAATAACTAAAGAAAGACTACAAAGTGACAAATCTAACATCTTAGCCTACCACTTAGCAAGCTTAGCCCATGAGTTGACTTAATTAAATGGCACTTTAAATCAGGGCTGTCAAACTCGCGGGTTGCAGGTGGCCTGTAAAGGGTTATATTGCAGCCCCTATGCTTCTGCCTGGATGCTGCTCCCTCTATTCCAGCTGCAACAGCAGCCTGATCTCTGGGCTCCTCCTCGCTCCTCTGGTTTTCACTGCCTGTCTCCACTCCAGGCGGCAGGATATTGCAATGAACGAGAGCTGAGACTGAGCCTGGGGCACATGGTACAATGGAGCAGGTGTGCATAGTGCAGCAGCAGGAGGAACATGTATGTGTGGCACAGCATGTTGTGGGGAGTAAGGCCTGGCAGCATTTTATTTCAGAAAAAGGTATTTTGTTTCAGAATAAGAGGCTTATAAACAATGGCAGATTGGGGCAGGCACCAAGGAGGACTATTCCACGACGGCCTGCATTTGCAGGGAACAAATAAGATGGGCTAAAGTAGCAACCAAACTTAGATTAACAATGGGAATCAAGGACAACAAGAAGTCCTTCTTTAGATGCATAGGGAACAGGAGGAAAACAAATGGGAGTGTGGGGCCATTGCTCAACAACTCAGGAGAGTTGGTTACCGGCACCCAGGAGAAAGCTGAATTCCTGAATGACTACTTCGCTTCATTCAGTCTTTCACCAGACCAAGGGGAAAACAACACCAAGTAGAGTACAGGATGAGTATGGTAGGA